CTCTTTCGCCGGTGCAGCCGTGTTTCTTTTTTTTTTTTTTATGAAATATGGGCTCGTAGTCACTATATGCTTGTAGTAGCACATCCATTTCTGTCGGGGAAAAACGCAGACCTATTTTGGCTTGGTCCTGTTGCCATGGTGACTCGTAATGTCTTCACTCCATTGTTCAGGGCTTTTTATAGTCGCGTGGCACGCGCCTAACTCTGAGTCAAACAACTCAGAGTTGATTAAACCAACTCTTTTCAGCTGTTCTGAAACCGAAGACTCCAAGTTTTCCAACTCTGAGTAAGTCAACTCAGAGTCCAGGTTTGAACTCTGAGTTTGTTAAACCACCTTCTTGAAATAGGCCCCAGGTCTCTCAGAGAAGCGAGCTTACACAGGAAGGCAGACAAGGCATTGTCAAGCGGTGCTTGACAATGCCTTGTAGTTACTGTTACAAAAATAGGGTGTGTGTTGAAGGGCTGACGGCGCAGTGAGAGGACAGGCATGGCGCAGTGAGAGGACAGGCATAGCACAGCTTCTCCTGAAATGTGATTAGAAACCCCCTTAAGTAGACATAAGACAACTAAAATATGGCCTACAGTAACCATCAGTAAACATGAAATGAAATCAGCAGCAAGTTGGACTCTTCTTCTTGTGTCGTTCTCTAAGACAGGAAATGTAACCCAAGCCTTCTGGGTATTATTGGGCTAAACAGTACCAGTGCTACAGGACAGGACCATTTGGTTCAGTGGTGGGATGCCCAGGGGATTGTCGGATTGATCCTTTTCCTTATGTGTGTCCTCTACTCCAGGTAATTTATCTGTGCAGTTATCATGTGAAAAAAGTCACGGATTAGTAAACAGCTGAATTTCCAAAATGATTCTCATAAAAACTATTCTCTCACTTTTCCTCTGTATCTATCAGTATCCGTAATTCATCCAATGCCCAGGTGAACAAGCTGATTCTGACCACTGACGAGTCAGCTCTGATCGAGGACGGGCCTCAGACTGACAGTTCTGAGGAGGGCAATGGTCTCAACAGAGCTGTGGACAATGAGAAGGATGGCGTCACCTACTCCTATTCTTTCTTCCACTTCATGCTGTTCCTGGCGTCACTCTATATCATGATGACGCTCACCAATTGGTACAGGTAGGCTTCACACTGCAGAGGCATTACAGTACATCACAGTACAACATACACTAAGATGTGATTTAGTTAAAGGATTTTATTTTCAACTACGATTTTGGCTTTCAACAATTATGAAAACAATAATCGAGACAAAATGATAACTGTGCTGCACTCCATTTCACAATGATGCTCTCATTTTTTGTTGTGCCATATATCCAGCACACTCCTTCAGCATGTTGTGCTCACATTGGGAGAAGTGAAACATTACTCCAACACCTACTGTATGTGCGATAAAACCTCCATGAGCATAAACTTGCAGAGAAGTGATAGTTTCAGCTTTGCCTGCAGTCTGTCATCCACCGCCAGTTTGTGTTAATGTAGCAAGCTTGTTAAGATAATAGCTAATTGTTATAACAAATTAAAGTGAAAGATGAGTGTATGTGGCCTTACTGTTAAGCCAAAGGGAGAGTGAGGGATGTGGCTGTGTCGTGGTGAGCCCAGCAGATTATTCAGGTTATGACAGTCAGTATTGTTAACCAGAAGTAACAACGTTTTATTTGTAAAATAATATAGAGTAGTGAGTAATTTCATCTGAATTGTCAGTCACAGTTAGATAGATGAAATACTTTAAATATGATTCAGATGAAAAACAAAGTTCAAGAAAACCCACTATTAAGGTTTTTTTTTTTTAAGTTCAATAAATCCGTGGTGTTTCCAAAGTCAGTGTGTAATTGTCTTAAATAAGCGTGATCTCAGTATTGATCAAAATAATCATGATTATGATTTTTCCCATAATCGTGCAGCCCTAATGAGTATTTAGAGCAGCAGGGCAACATACGGTCGTAAGAAAAAGTAATGGCACTGTTTGAAGTTTTCTGCATAAATTGGTCATGAAATGTGATCTAATCTTCAACAAAGGCAACAAACCTGATATTTATAAGCTGATAAAACACAACCAGTCCAGATCTTTCATGTCTTTATTGAACACACCCATTAAACATACAAAGTTATGGAAAAAGTAATGGCAACATGAGGCTTCTGGATTCAGGTGTAATATGCCTATTCCAAGAGCATTTTCTCTTTGTGAATTGTATCTAGTATATTAACTAATAAGGGTTAGAGTGGGTTAATACTGTGTTCGTCTGAGCTGCCACACACAATTGAACTTTTCCCTTATTGAATTCTGTGAACCTGCAACCTAAATCTAAATATAGATATTGTGTGTATTTTCAAGACAAACTGTGACATGAAACAGTGGTTATCTGTTTATTAGGTGTGCCACACCTAAACTAATGCAGTCTAAAACAGGACTCCTGCAATAAATCCTCCTTCCTAAAAATGATAATGTTCGGGTTTTGTTCAAACGTTTTAACAAAAAATCTGTTGATTCACCTCTGTGATCGTTTTGAATTGTATAGTTTATAAGGCGTTTCTATTTTTTGTCTCCCCCATTGATATCAATGAGACTAGGCTAAATAGCAGAAACAGCTCTCTGTATAATGCAGTACAGTTGAACAACAGCAGAAACTCCAGCCTCCAGAGTGATCATACAGTTGAATCAACACCTCTCTGAAACAGTTTGAACACAAACCGAATATGATCACTTTCATGAAGGAGGATTTATTTCTGTTTATGTGATGCGCCAGGTTGAGTGCCCATCTCTGTTTGAGGTGCTTCTTTGTTGCTTGGTCTCTCTGCAGCCCTGACTCCAACTATGAGGCAATGACCAGCAAGTGGCCATCAGTGTGGGTGAAGATCTCCTCCAGCTGGCTCTGCATCGCCCTCTATGTGTGGACACTGGCGGCGCCACTCGTCCTGGTCAACAGAGACTTTGACTGAGACGTATGCTGTTCCACTGCTCATACACACATTCATGCTTTGCTTCACCTGTGTTTTGTTTCAGCAGTCAGTAAAACAGTAGGTAGCTAACTCTGCTCCAGTTACACCTGGAGCTGCACTCAGACTGGCTGGATTGTTTCAGATTTACTACATTTGATGGCTGTGGTTTATCTGTACAAACTTTTGCAGCTTCCTCACAGCAGGGGCCAACAAGGATGATTAACTGTGTTATGTCCCAGCTCTGATTGCAGCCTGGTCTACTCTGGTGTAACGTTGTTGTGAATCCTCAGCAGCTTGTTGTAGTGGTTCCTCATGCAGTTGCAGTTGTAAATAAATCCTATGTATTTCTAGTGGACAATTTTGTTTTCTTTCTATAATGAAAGAACTGCATGCTTTTCCTTTAACACTTGATGTGACATTAGCTGTATGTGAAGCTTTTCCAGGGATGATCATTAATCAGTGAGCCCCTTGTGGGAAGCAACAGTTCATCTCTAGTATTACATATGGAAATGCTGTTTCATGTAAAATAAGGGAGAAATGTCTTCGATTGTGCTGCTGTCAGAAGGATTTGAGTTGTGTATGAGCGGCACCCCAGCTGTGGCACCAAGAGAGCAACATCTTATGTTCCACTAAATACTACCATCACCAGGTATGGGCAGTGCTGTGTAACAGTCTGTGTGTGTGTGTGTGTGGTATAGTTATGTGCTATCATTTGTGAAAGCTCTGTCAGCTGTGTGTTCACTCTGCAGCTTGCACACTTCTCAGCACACACATAACAAAGACCTTACTGTTTTTGTTTCTGGTTTGCATTGAAGTTTGACTTTAATTGTAAAAATATTAATTGATTGAAAACATGTAGATAATTAATTTTGGTAGTGTTTAGCACTGGAATGTAGACCTGTTGTGGCTATACATTGGACTCTTTCAAATGTTCTTTTATTCTAATATGATTTTTCTCTTAACATGTTAGAGTATTGTAACTAATAAAACTGAGGACAAGAAGCCAGGTGTGTTTTGTTTCTTGCCTTTGTGTAGCTTATATGAAATCTACAGTTTGACCGTTGTATGTTCTCACAGAAAAGGTAGTCTAGATGTCCCTCTCTCCTGTCCCCTTTGCAGAAAAGCAGGTGTCTTTTATACAGGTAACAAGTTCAAACAGGTGCAATGAAGACAGGCAATGAGTGGAGGATAGGATGGCTTCTTAAAGACAAACTAACAGGTCTGTGAGAGCCAGAATTCTTGCTGGTTGGTAGGTGATCAAATACTTATTTCATGGAATAAAATTGAAATAAATTGTTTAAAAATCCAACAATGTCATTTACTGGAATTTTTTTTGTAAAACTGATAGAGACATACCCCAAGCGACTTACAGCTGTAATCGCAGCAAAAGGTGGCGCTACAAAGTATTAACTTAAGGGGGCTGAATAATTTTGCACGCCCAATTTTTCAGTTTTTTATTTGTTAAAAAAGTTTGAAATATCCAATAAATTTCGTTCCACTTCATGATTGTGTCCCACTTGTTGTTGATTCTTCACAAAAAATTACAGTTTTATATCTTTATGTTTGAAGCCTGAAATGTGGCAAAAGGTCGCAAAGTTCAAGGGGGCCGAATACTTTCGCAAGGCACTGTATATGCACAAACCGCCGTCCCATGCAACCTTGTCGAAACCTCTTGCCACCCCATGTAAAATGTTTCTGATTCACCACTGGACTTGAATGCATAATATTCATGCTGAATCTAACATGTCAGGCTTTCTTCATATCTGCTGATTGTTATCAGCCCTAAAACCAGCTTTCAGGCACACCATTGCTAACAACCAGTATGGTGTGGTGGAGTCTATAGCTGTTAATCCTGGGATACACTTGTCTATCAACACCACTTTTAAGGAGGTGATAGGAGATGTGTGAATCAAGTTTGGGTTGTGTGGATTGTGTATTGGCATTTTTCTGATATGGGACACACTTACCTACTATAGGATTGTGAACATGCACTTCAGTGTCCAAGTGCAAGGCTTGGTGCTGGGAAGGACCACAGACCGCATAATGACATGACAGCTCCCAGAAGTGTCGATCACCCCCTTGTAGCTGGTTGCAGTATAGGTCATAAAACCTGCCCCTTCCATTAGTGGATGAGACATGAGCCAAACAAAAAACTCAAAGTACAAATCAAATACATTTTTCCCAGTAGTAATTTCTGTTATTTTAGGTAGATATTGATTTGTGTACAAGTAGTCATTTGTCTGGTAAGTTTGTTTTAATAAGTTATTTGATTATATAAAACTGTGTATTTTAAATGATTTGACAGCTTTGATTGGTGGTCTGATGGCAGCCACCGTATTCATGAAATTTTGGCCTCACTTTTTCAAAACAGGGAAGTGGTGCTGTCATCCATCTTTATATACAGTCTATGAGAAGGACTCAACGTCACTTTGAGGAGCAACTCTCAGCTGATCACATCTGCTCAGAGAAGACATAACAATCCAAGATCCGGGACCTGTATCACAAGGCTGAACTTAGTCTGGCTCTCTCTAGGTTATCTGGCTTCACTGAGCCTAACACTGGTCGTCTTGTTTCTCGTCTTTTTTTTTTTTTTGCCAGTGGGTGGACTTCACTAACCTTCAGCCATCCTACCAATGGATGTATGCACTTTAAGACATGAAAACTGCTAGTTTATGATGGCTAATGTTATTATATTTTAGAAAGATAATGCTTTGCAGATGAGGTCAGTTTGCAGTCTTCTCTGTTTGCACCACAGATAGGTGAAAGACACATCTGTCATGTCACATAAGACTGTCACTTAATATATCATTTGATATCTGTTGCCAGAAGAAGTAGTGAAGGCACGGTTGCTGTGATGTGCAGCAGCAATGAGTGAATGTGACACAGAAGCTCCTATTTTGGAGGGTTTGATGCTCATCGACCCCGGGAAATAGGCCTGGTGTGAACTGTCATGCCAATGCATTGCTGGCATGTGTGGTCTTGCATAGGAAACTATGGAATATTTTGACAGGCATATCCCCCTGACAGATGTTAATGAGAATGCTGATGCCTTTAAAGCATCTGAGTGAGAATATTGCAAATTAAGGGAAGTTCTTGATTTAGTTTTAGGCCACAGTGGTTGCCGTTGCAGGCTAACTTTAAATGTTCAGCTTGCTCTTCCTGTAGAGACTGGCAAAATCGAGTGTCCAGTTTAAATGCCAACATATCCATTAAACAGAATTACATTCTGACAAAGATACTTTATTATACTATAAGTAACAACATTGTAAGCAAATTGTTGACAGCAACTCCAATACACTATGACAAACAGGATACAAAAGTTAGTGAAAAGAGGAAAATCATGAAAATGGCTACAGAACCAACCCAAACAACCACAGAGCTTTATCTTCAGTCCATTCAAAAACTGGCATTTCTCCTCTAGAATAATACGAAAATATACTGCTTCCAACCTGAAGTTTCAACAGAGTTTGAACTAAAATATGAACCGGCAAGTAACACTTTAGGCTAAATAATGATTTTAGGCATCACGCACAATTTCTTCGTTTAATCAACAATATTGTGTTTCTCATCAGTGTAGTGGTGGGCACAGTGGGTATTAAGAACCAGACAAGATTTTAGAAGGCTCCCGTTGCATTTAGGTGGTAAGGCCATATTCAGGCAGAGCATGTTTTACAGGTTGCAGTCACTGTATCACTGTAGACAGACTGGAAAACAAATTTGGCAACTCTGGCCTGGCCCTCATGTGGTTAAATTCATACTTATCTGAGAGAAAGTGTGTTTTAATTAGAAAAAAAAAATACAATATCAGTATTTTCCAATGTGAAATGCAGAGTACCTCAGGGCTCTCAAATCTGGGGACACAGCAGCATACAGACATGTTAGGAGAAACCTGACTCAGGGCATTAGAGAGGCAAAGAGACACTAGAGACAGAAACATAATGGCTACTTCATGGATAATAAAGACACAAGGCGCTTGTGGACATGAGAGAGAGCACCTCCAAGTTTGAGGTCATGGCACTCTGCCCGAAAATGATGGACTGCTCCTTCTGGGTTGGGGGTAAGTTGCTAGCATCATCCCATGCAAAGCTGTGGGGCTAGACAACTTCCTTGGGCGCATTTTGAAAGACTGTGCAGAACAGCTGCAAGATGTTTTTGCGGACACTTTTAACACCTCTCTCAGCCAGGAAGTTTATTCCTACATGCTTCAAAAGTGCCACCACCATTTTTGTGCATAAGAAGTCAAACCCAGCCTGAATGAATGACTTCCACCCTGTGGCTCTTAAACCCATAGTAATGAAATGCTTCAAGCAGCTTTTCATGAAGCACATCAAGGCCTGCAAACTTATATTCTCTATAGTTTACATACAGAGCCAACCGGTCCACAGAGGATGCTATCTTGACCACACTGCACCTGACACTGTCACACCTGGAGAGGGAGAACACCAATGCCAGGCTTCTCTTCATCAACTTCAGCTGGTGGTCAATACCATAATTCCACAGCAGCTGGGGGAGAAGGTGAGGTTTCTGGATGTGGATTCTGCCACCTGTAACTGGGTTCTTCCTGACACCGAGGCAGCAGACAGTTAGGGTTAGCAGCCACAGATCAGGAACAATCTCAGTGAGCACCGGTTCACCCCAAGGCTGTGTCCTGAGCCCCCTGTTTACTCTGCTTACTCATGACTCCACTGCCAGATTCAACCCTGACTACATCATTAAGTTTGTGATATGACAGTGGTGGGTCTCGTTATAAACAACAATGAATCTGCTGATAGACAGGAGGTAGAGCAATTTTCTGAGTGTTGTAGATCCCACAACCTCTTTCTGAATGTGGGAAAAGCCAAGGAGTTGGTGATTGAGTTTAGAATGGATAGCGGGCATCATTATCACGTGCCACTGACCATCAATGGCATCACTGTGGAGAAGGGCAGCGTTGTGAAGTTCTTGGGTGTGCACCTGGCGGACAACATGACCTTCACCACCAACACCTCGGCCATTATGAAGAAAGCTCAACAGCAACTCCACCTGCCCCGCAGACTCAAAAAGGCAGGCCTCCCTATCATACACGTCACCACCTTCTATAAGGGCACCACTGAAAGCATCCTCATCTGTGGCCTCACTTCCTGTCTTGGTAATAGCAGGGCATCTGAATGCCACCAACTTCACTGGATAGTGAAAACAGCCAGTAGGATCACTGGTTCCTCGCTTCCCTTTCTGGAGGAAATGTTTCATCAGCAGAGCTACCAAGATCATTAGAGACCCTCATAATCCATGTTGCTGTCTGTTTTCCCTTCTGCCTTCAGGTAGGAAGTACAGAAGCATAGGTACCAGATCCAGCAGGATGCTGAACGGCTTTTTTCCACAAGTTCAGAATCATCAATGGACTGTGCCCTCTCCGACTTTCCCACAACACACCCACAGTTCCTCCAAGTCCACTGACACTTGAAACCAAATAGCTGAATTGTTAATGGGTATAACCGCACTCTACAAACATTGGACTGTTCGGTTAGACTGCACTTTACAAAATAAATTGACGCTGTTCTGCACTCCAACACTACGATGCGCTGCTATTCTGTTACACATGGTATGTTTTTCTATGTATATTTTTTTGCTATAGTTATTTATTGTTATTGTTTTTATCATACTGGGAGAAACACCATTTCATTTTTATGTACACACATACATAGAGATGAAAAAGAAAGAAATGTTGAATCTTGAATCTGTTCTTGGCCCTCTGCTCTTCTCTTTTTATATTTCACCTTTTGGCCAAATTATACACAGTCATGGAATTTATCTCCACTGCTATGCTGATGATACTCAGCTATACAGTATGTGTCTATAAAAGCAAATAATTGATGCTGCTAGATGACACAAGCATCTAGCAAGCAAGATGCTTGTCTCATTCAGACTAGATTGCTACATGATTACTTTGTTCTCAGGCCTGCCACATACTTGTACTAAAAGTCTTCAAATGGTTTAGAATGCTGTAGAATTTTAACTAAATCCAGAAAAGTTGACCAAATTACAGCAAGCAATTCAAACTGTGTGTGTGTTGCTCTCTTCTCTCCTCCTTGTCTTCTCTGTCACTCAAGCTTTCTGACCTGGACCATCAGCCATATTGGGACCTCTCTTTCCTGTGGCTGTGGATGCCTGTTCAGATTTCAGGATCTGGATCCTTGTACTTCAGGAGTCCTGGCCTCATTTTTGTCCTTATCCCCATCATTTATTACTTTGCTGTTCATTTGCTTGTTCCCTTTGTCCTGTCTATTCCCTCTAATGTGTGCTGGTTGCTTTCCCCTGTATGTGTGAATGATGTGTTTGAGTTGTCCCTATTTGTATGGTTGTGCAATCTATCCTCCTACCAGACCTGTGTCTGGAGGAGAGGTCATGTGGGTCAGGTCTATTGGAAGCAACAGTGTTATTCATATACGTATGTTACAATACATGTAACATGGTGTCATCCTGATTGTCCAAACGACTGCAAATCTATTACACTACCAGTCAAAGGTTTGAACACACTTTCCCATGTAATACAATGGAAAAAAATGTCAAAAATATTGACTGGTAGTGTATGTTTACTGTAAATCAATTTTGTTGATTTATTCTGTAAATACAACATCTACTGCATGTCTGTCCATCCTAGAAGAGGCATCGCTCCTCTGTTGTGTTCCTGAGGTTTCTACATCTATTCTTCTTCCCAGCTGACAAAACAGCAAAACTGTATCCAGTTTTGTTAGTTTGTTTTGATATGGGTAATGTTGAATAAAAAACGTCTGACAGACAGCAACATGTAAAAACTCCAACTCATGTCACTGTCATGAGTATAAAATGTCATGAGTATAAAACTGTAATTTGATCAAAAGTCATAAATTCTGCCCAATAAATTCTCATTTCCAGCTATTCTTTGTCATGGTTAGATATACACATCCTATGAAAACAGTTGTACAGTATGTCTTCTGTGCCTCTGGAGGAGTTTTGTCAAGGCCACAAAATAACATCAAAGTGACATCACCACAATTAAAAAAGACCAATTAAAAAGCCTGCACTGAAGGTGTGGAATTTTTAGGATATGTGTTTTTACTAGGCAGTGGTGCTCTCATAGAGGTTCTTAGTTGGAGAGAACACTGGTATTGGGAGCATTTTTTTCCTTTCTGTATTTCCATTGCAATTTTTTCTTTAAACAATCTTTAAATTAACATGGAATTCTCTTGGATTATGTAATGATCCTATACATTTACATCTGCCAGTTTTAATTATGTCAAGTTTGTGCTGTCATTTAAGCACAAAATATGGGTCTAAACACTACATTACCCATGAGCGTTGCCACTATTGACATGGAAAAGAAGCCAATCAGAGGCATGTATTAGAACATTTGTCAAAGGTGTGTCATAAACAGTTGAGAATAAACAGCATCACAGATGCTGAATTCATCCACAATTGACTCATAATTTAAAAGTGATCTGATTTAAGTTTGAATATGTTTCCAGCTTTCTCCACAGCATAATCTTTAACTCTCTCTAGCGTTAGACTAAAATCACTATACAGCAACAACAACAACAACAATAATAATAATAATAATACACTGTAGTGTCTTAGTTTGGCACAAGCTATAATTCTTGCTTGTGCATTCTGAAAGATGGGTAATATAATGTGTAAAAAATGTGACTACAGCTGGATCACCTTTTCCCAGTGTAAGAAGAATCAAATCGAACAAACCTATCTGTAAATACCATCTAATAACAAATACTCAGCACCCATCTTTGAATGTCTTTTAAGCGTTTGTAGATTTTCTATGCAGGTGTAACCTGGATAAAAATACTATGTATTATAGTTAGAAAGTTTGTTTGCTTTTGAGCAATAGTTACTATAAATAAGTTGATTTCATAGATAAATATGGTTAAAAACTTTATGGTGATTTATTTCATGTTATTTCGAAGGTTCAAGGAAGTGTTGTGTGTAAAATATTATTATTGGTCATCCATTGGTAAAGGTAGTGACACCCAGGGAAAGAAGGGAAAAAAAGGAAGCGGGGAAAGGGCGTAACTTGGTGAAAGAAGGAGAGATGGGGAAAAATAATGTATAATGTATATAATGTAGAGAGGTTTATTACAGATTTCAGATTCGTCAGTTATAGTTACTGTGAGTTAATTGAACTCAGGGCCCTTACCTTATAGGTGGGTTACACAGGAAGAACCAACACAGGGTAGGAGCCATTATTACAGAAATGCAGAGGTCCTGATTCTCCCAGTGCCCTACCCCACCACCTGACCAGACACTAAAATAGTCTTGAAGTTTATTATTATTATTATTATTATTATTATGTTTTTCATATTAATTTCCTAAATGCTGTTTTAAACCATTTGTCATACTGTCACAATAATATTCTGGAGAATAAGTATGGAATGCATTTTAGGTGTAAAAATTATCAAATGCATTACATACCAGCCTACAAAATATCCAACATGTGACAAAGTACAGAGCAGAAAACACTTCAGTAACTTTAGTTGGTAGTAACTTGGCAACAAAGTGTACTAAATTTGTTAAATTGTGTGAAAGATTGTAATCCCCACACCAGCCACTACTGCATACTGTATGTATTCACTGACTCCACTTTGTTTATTACTGACTGTCCTTGAATTTGAGCAGGTGGATTTAGAAACATTGTAAACTTCAATCAGAAATGAAATTAATACAACTTAGCAAAGCATATGCACAGGTATTATGTGCAAACATTCTTGAAAGATATAAAAGAAAGCAGGAGATTAAATGATTACAATACCATCTATTTACATAGGGTAATTTATAAATACTACTGTCTATTCACAGTCTTTGATCACAGTGAAATCAACAGTTTTTACTTGGTTTGTAATTTGATTTCATTACATTATGGTTATTCATTTATCGGGTACATATTTGGATAAAAGAATTAGTCTTAACTTGGACACTGATCAGGTGGAGATTCTGTCCCTCCACACAGGCCATAAAATGAAAATCTGTACCTTACTGGGTGATCATGCAGCTACCCTGCTCAGTCAGCACTGTTTCTTTGTATACAAATGAGGGCTGATCCACAAGGCTGACTCCTCCCCAGATGAATTTAGGCTACACGTACAGGTTGCTCATCTCCTAACTCAGTGCCCAGGTTGGTGAAGGTGACGGAGGGCTCCAGGACTCCAGGGCTGAGTTGGGGTGGGTTTGTAGCTGGCTGGCTACCCGTGTTCCTGAATTGCTTGTACACTCGTGGATCCTGGGCCACATAGGTAGATGAGGAGGAGTAAAGGATCAGGCCCAAGATAATGACAAAGAAAGATAGCAGATAGAGCCCCGAGAACTGTAACAGACAGACAGACAGACAAACAGACAAACTTAAAGCTAGCATCTGCATTAAGCACTGCTAGGTCACCTACCTCATAAATATTAATCAGTGTGTAAAGATCAATGACCTGGTGTAACATAGTGTCTCTGGACTGTCTGCTCATTGTTTCCTGTTCTTTGGCTCTCCAGTCTTTTTAGTTATCTGCATGAGGTCTCTAGGTCCTCTGTTCTTGATCCCTTAGATCCCTTATACTTAAAGCCTGTTCCTGTGCTACCAGGATCAGAGCCTCTGTGCTGTCTTTCAGTCCAAATTTGTCCAGCCACTGGTAGAATTTTTCGATATCAGCCACTTCTTGTATTTGACGGTGGTACATACTGTGCAGTTTTGTCCTTCCATGAGGGTTCCTGCTCTTCCTTCCCTAGTTCCTCTGGTTTCTGCTGCCTGAGATATTCACTAAACACGTCATCACTCGGGTCCATCTTCCTGATGTATTCATGGATCGTTGTCGTTTCATCCTGTTTAGTGGCTCTGACACTCACTAATCCTCGGCCTCCTTCCTTTCGTTTAGTGTAGAGTCTCAGGATGCTGGACTTGGGGTGAAACCCACTGTGTATTGTAAGGAGCTTCCTTGTCTTGATGTCAGTGGCCTCTATCTCCTCCTTTGGCCAGCTTATTATGCCAGCGGGGTACCTGATGACCGGCAAGGCGTAGGTATTAATCGCCTGGACTTTGTTCTTTCCATTCAGTTGACTTCTCAGGACTTGTCTTACTCTCTGCAGGTACTTGTTAGTTGTCGTTTTCCTTGCAGCCTCTTCATGGTTCCCATTTGCCTGCAGGATCCCAAAGTACTTGTAGCTGTCCTCAACATCTGCTATGTTGCTTTCTGGTAGTACAATCCCCTCAGTTCTGACTACCTTCCCTCTCCTTGTTACCATTCGACCACACTTATCCAGTCCGAATGACATTCCGAGGAAAAGAAACAAGTAATATATATACATACATACAGTGGTGTGAAAAAGTGTTTGCCCCCTTACTGATTTCTTATCTTTTTGCATGTTTGTCACACTGTAATGTTTCAGATCGTCAAACAAATTTATATATTAGTCAAAGATAACACAAGTAAACACATCATGCAGTTTTTAAATGAAGGTTTTTATTATTAAGGGAAAACAAAATCCAAAACTATAGAGCCCTGTGTGAACAAGTGTTTGCCCCCCTGTCAAAACACTGGTTTATCGCACC